TAGCATCGCAGTATAATTCCTAAATCGTAAATAATTATAGGAAATGACTAATTGGCAGATAAATGCAAGCCATAAACCCACAAGGTTACTTGATATTTATAAAGCCGGTAAACAGTGCACAACTGCAGTTGCATTCAAGTTTGCAAAGATGGTACTTTCAATGAATCGTTTTGTGGGCAAAGTGGCCGTTGTGACCGGTGCCAGTTCTGGAATTGGGGCTGCCATCGTGGAAAAACTGGTCGAAAATGGGCTCATTGTAACCCTTAACCCCCTCTTTTACCTAACATTTATCCCTAATAGGTTGCAGGAGTGGCCCGGAGGGCCGAAATCATCGAGGAGTGTGCCAAAAAATACGCCGGCAAAAAGGGCAAACTCGTCGCTGTGAAGGCCGATATGAGCAAAGAAGATGACATTTTGAGGGCTTTCAAGTGGATTGAGGGCAATTTGGGCCCCATCCATGTCCTTGTCAACAACGCTGGGTATGCCACCATGGGGGGCCTCACCGATGGGAAGACAGAGGAGTGGCGCAAAACCCTCGACTTGAATATTATTTCCCTGTGTGTGGCCACAAGAGAGGCTGTTAGGTTGATGAGGGCTAATAAGGTCAATGGGCATATTATTCATATTAACAGCATTTTTGGGCATCAAGTCACGACCCATACTTGGAATATTTATCCAGCTTCGAAATATGCCGTGACGGCCCTCACTGAGACTTTGAGGCAGGAATTGAATGCTCTGGGGTGCAAGATTAAGATTACGGTGAGGAAACAAACATTTTTTTTTTGAAATTATTTTATTACATTCGAGTTGTTTATGGCAAGATAATTAACATTAATAAATGATTACATAATCGGAACGAGGCATTGCATGTTTTTCTGCGAAAGGCATGCATTAATGAAATTGTTTTGATTGTATAACTGCGCATAAAAAATCTGCAGTTCATGAATTTTATTTAATTAGTAATTGGATAAAATTTTTCTAAAAACTGAAAATAACTATTTTTTGTATCAATTAACAAATTTTTGCTGAAATCGAGCAACACATCTGAAAAAATTTGCTAACGTTCCAAATAAATAAAAGTTGGGTTTAAAAAACTCAAAAATGCACAAAATAAGACATTAGAGCATTATTGTAATTTTTGCGTCAGTTTGTATCAATTAATTAAGAAATTTTTATATATTTTTTTATAATTGTAATAAATTTTGCATTGGTTTAAATTTTTGTTGAAAATGACAGCTGAAAAAAATTACTAACGTTCAAAATAAACAAAACTTGTCCAAATGTGCAAAAATAACATAGACTGCAATTTCTTTAATTAATTGCAAGTTTTGTTAAATATAGCCACTTTTCGTAAAAAAATAGCCTATGTGAACTTAGAAAGATAAAAATAGTACCTACATTTGGAGCATAATTTTGTGTTAAGAATAACCCCAATTGAACAAAACAAGTTTAAAAAATACATTTATCGTGGAAAAACTGCAATTTCTTTTAAAAGAAAGCTAATTCTTTTAAAATATAAAAATCAAACCAAAACAAGCCAGAAGTTTAATTAAATCTTTTCAAAAACGCCAACGCCAGATTTTTGCTGAAAAATGAGCTAAATTGAATTAAACCAGCAAGAAAAAAACATTTATAGCCTGTTTTTGCATTACTGTTATAAATTCTTTTAATAATGATAACTTTTGACTAAAATAAGGTAATTTTTGAACTGATTTAATAATTTTTTTTGTTTTTTTTTAAATTGTGTTATTTGAGATTTCGAGCTAAATTAAATAAATATAAATTTTTAATTCAAACTAGAGTCTAATTAGGGTCTTAAAGTATTAAATTATAGTTTTAAAATTTGTTGAATTCAAAAATCAAAATTTCAGGGTTTTAGATTCGGAAAATTTTTACTCTCAAATTCTTAGACAAGTTAGTTCTATAAAAACTTCAGATCAGAATCTGTAATTGCAAAAGTATTGAATTGAAAAGTTTACAAATCTAAAATCGTAAAATTTTATATGAATTTTTCTAAACTCAGAATTTAAACAGAAACGTTAGAAATTACAAAAAGATTAAATTCAGAATGCTGTAAACTTTTAAATTTTAGAATTGAGAAAAAGTTCAGTTCACCTACGGAAAAAATCTTAATAATATTAATAAAAATAATTAATTAATTAATAATTAATAAAAAATATTAATAATAATCGTTTTTGTTGAGAGAAAGTGCGACAAAAGAACATAAAACCAAAAAATTAAGAAAAATCAAGAAAGAATTTTCGTGGCATATCTGTTTTGTTTATATAAATTTTTTTATATAAATTGTAGCTAAATTTATTACTTTAGTAAAAAAAGTTCTCAACTTTCTCTATTTCAGCAAGAAAAAAACATTTATAGCCTGTTTTTACATTACTGTTAATAAATTCTTTTAATAATGATAACTTTTTTTACGTAATACAAAAATGACTATAATAATATAATGAACTAATTTAATATTTTTTTTTTGGTCTTTTAAAGAGTGGTTATTTAAGATTTCGAGCTAAATTAAATAAACATAAATTTTTAATTCAAACTAGAGTCTAATTAGGGTCTTAGATAATTCCAGAATCACGGAGTATTAAATTATAGTTTTAAAATTTGTTGAATTCTAAATAACTTTTTCAAAAATCAAAATTTCAGGGTTTTATATTCGGAAAATGTTTACTCTCAAATTTTTGGACAAGTTAATTCTATAACAACTTCAGATCAGAATCTGTAATTGCAAAAGTATTGAATTTAAAAGTTTACAAATCTAAAATCGTAAAATTTTATATGAATTTTTGTAAAGCTAAAACTCTTCTCTTCTCTTCTCTTCTTTTGAATCCTCAAAACTAACAATTGTACATTACAATCTTAGAATCACTACTTTTACAAAAAAGGGATTTTAAAACTCACAATTTAAACAGAAACGTTACAAATTACAAAAAGATTGAATTCAGAATTCTGTAAACTGTGAATTTAAAACTTTTTAAAAATTTTAGAATTGGAGAAAAGTTCAATTCACCTAACAAAAAAATCTAAGTGAAGAAATTTCTTATAAATATTTTATTGGACAAAAAAATGCAAAAATGGCTAAGCTGAAAGAATAAAATTATTACAGTAGAAATTCCCATTTTTTTAAATCACTTTTTCAATCTTTTTTTTAACAATTCCACCGACTATTTTTATTTCAAATGCGTAAATAAAATCAAGTGCAAACGTAAACACGAATGTCTGTGTAATTGTTCCGACCTTCAGTGGTAATAATAGGAGAGTGCATGATAATTTCATGATTTTTTTCAGAGCGTAAGCCCTGGCTTAGTCGCCACTGAAATGACCACAAAAAACAAAAATGCCTCGGCCGACACCAAAGCTTTCCTCGCAAAACTACCCATTTTGCAACCCGAGGACATCGCTGATGGCATTTGCTACGCATTATCTACTCCAGAGCATGTCCAGGTACAAAATTTCGCCAAAATTTTAAACAATTTCGATCAAATTTTTTATTGCAGGTTCACGAACTGACCATTCAACCGCTGTAATCTTTTCACAAAAATACTTAACATTTTATCTGATTATTATAATTGTGACAATAATTTAGGTGTAGTTTTTGTATAATTTAAAGGTTGTGTTGGAGATAATAAATAAAAAGAAATTAAATTTTTATTTCAGTAACGTCCAACCAAATTTCGCCCTCAGCTGACAATACCAAAGAATTTGGTTTCATTTTTAATGGTTCTTGAGTTTTTGCACTAACTGTAAACTTGTAACGTTTTAGTAAAAATGCAAGGCCTAATTTTGATTGAATTAGTCCAAAACGCATCCCTGGAAACTCATTTAGTACCAAACACTTGTCAAAATCCCAATTGTGGTACCAATACACATCCTGGGTCCTTCCCCAAACGGAAGAAACGCAAAATTGGGTCTAAATCTCCTATTCTCTTCACTGAAACGGTCMGGATCAAAATTTTCAGGATTCGGGTAATAATCCCAATCGTAGTGAATCCCCATCACTGGAACTGTAACAATTGTGCCTTTTTCGAGCACAATCCCAGTCCCAGGGATCTCATAATCAGTTTCACACTTCCGGTTTAGATAAGCAGCAGGCGGGTACATCCTCAGCGCTTCTGAAAATTTTCTTACAAAATTGTGTGATTTGACTCAACTCACCGTCAAAAACTTGATCCAAAAACCTCATTTCTTGGAGGGAATCATAAGTTAGGTCAAATTTCCCAATTTCTTGACGGACTTTCTCCTGGATGTCTTGATGTCTTGCAAGCTCGTAGAGTGCGAAAGTCATCGCAGTTGGCGATGTTGACATACCAGCAATGAAAAAAATAAAACATTGGGCGGCGATTTCCTCAATTGTTATCTCAGATTTCAGCTCCAAGTTGATTAAGACTTGCAAAAAATCGGGTTTTGTGACACTATTTTTCTTCCGGAAGTCCACAGTGTCTCTGATTAGTTTCCGGAAAAAAATTGAAGCGTCACGTGGGACTAAAACAATGTCAAAAATTTTGGCCAATTTTGGAAAATTGTCAATTATGAAACCTTTAAGCCGCCTTGAGCGTGACCTTTTTAAAATTTTACGTTGAAACTGTCTAAAAATCTTACAATCAAAACCAAAAACACATTTCTCGATTATATCCCCGATAAACTCATCTAAAACTTTTTTGATATCAACCGACTTGTGTTTTTCCATGTTTTTGACCAAATTCTTCTCACAGTCGAGCAAAATCGGGAACATTGACTTGAGTTTGCTTGAAGTGAAAATTTGGTTGAGTTTGCTTCTCATGTGTTTCCATTTGGGGCCACTTGTGTTGAAAATGTGGGCACTTAAAGGGTCACTCTTCTCGTTGAAGTAGAGTCCCCGATGGGGGAAATAATAAAAGTCGCGAGTCATAACATTTTTGACGTAATTTAGATCGCTAATTATGTAAACTGGTGATAATTGCTGATAAAAACCACCATGTTTCCACTTTTTTTCTTTCATTACGTCGTATAAATGTTTGAGCTGGAGTCCGAGGTGGGTTTTGGGGCCGGGAATATAGGGTTGCAGGTTTGGTATGTTCCTTCGCTCCCAATAAGAATAATAAAAACACTTGAAATAATAATAACACAAAATGACCAAAAATAGTGCGATAAAATAACTGGTTAACGAAGTAGTTATCAACATTTTTAACACAAATTGTCAAGCACTGACTGATAATTTTATCATTTAGTCGGAATTATTATGACTTGTTTACCAGACTTAGAACAGACGCTTTATTTATCTTTTATTACTTGTCATAAGTGCGTTCTCATTGTAAAATTCTAAAAATACACTGTGGACAATGAATTATTAGTAATTTAAGCACATTAAGTTTGTTAAAAGAGTGTTTTTAGTAAATAAAATTTTGGGAAAGTATTAATAATATTAATAATTATCGTTTTTGTTGAGAGAAAATGAAACTAAAAGAATAAGAAAAATTAAGAAAGAATTTTTGTGGCATATTTGTTTTGTTTGGCTTTATATAAATTGTAGCAAAATTTATTACGTTAGGGAAACAATTTTCTCATCTTATCTCTATTTCATAACTTTAAAATTAAAATATTAATAATAATCGTTTTTGTTAAAAGAAAGTGCGAAAAAAAAATAAAACCAAAAAATTAAGAAAAATCAAGAAAAATTTTTGTGGTATATTTGTTTTGTTTGGCGCCGCTTTTTATAAATTGTAGCAAAATTTATTACCTTAGTAGAAAAACATTCTCAACTTATCTCTATTTCATAACTTTGAAATTAAAATATTAATAATAATCATTTTTGTTGAGAGAAAGTGCGAAAAAAATTAAACTAAAAAAATGGGGAAAATTAAGAAAGAATTTTTGTGGCATGACACTGTTTTGTTTGGCGCCGCTTTATATAAATTGTAGCAAAGTTTATTACCTTAGTAAAAAAATTTCTCAACTTTTCTCTATTTCATAACTTTGAAATCAAAATACGAATTAATAATAACCATTTTTGTTGAAAGTACAAAAAAAAAGAAAATAAAACTAGAAAAATAAGAAAAATCAAAAAAGAATTTTTGTGGCATATCTATTTTGTTTGGTGCCACTTTATATAANAGTTTTATTGTCTACCTAAACGTTAAAGTTTTTTAAAAGTAGAATAAGAACATACGAGTAAATAAGAAATTTTGAGTTTTTTAATTTGAATTTTCTTATTTCTGACTAATTTCTTTGTTGTTATTTTTTAACGGTTAAGTAAATTTAACTGAAACTTTTTATACACGGTGATTCATCTAAAAAAACTACTCGGACAAATTTTGTCACTGAGCACTTGATAATTAAGAAATAATTATTTAACTCTTCATTAATTATAATAATAACTAATACTTTTTGCTGAAAATACTGTTTCAAGACACTCCGTTTTGTTTGAGGATTTTGTAAAATTTTGAATTTTTTTTAGCTTTGAATTATTTCAAATTTGATTGATCTATAAAAATTAAAAATAAAAAAAAAACAAGAAAGAATTTTTGTGGCATATCTGTTTTGTTTGGAGCGCTTTATATAAATTGTAGCAAAATTTATTACCTTAATAAAAAAACTTTCTCAACTTATCTCTATATCATAACTTTGAAATTAAAATTAGAAATTAAAAAAATTAAAAATAGACATTATTAAATCTTATATAAAACTATTAAATGAAAATTGCACTTTTAGTTGACACCCTGTTGTTCAAATTTGTACTAATGTTCAAAATTTGACTTTTGTAATAGTCGTAACAAAAATGCTAGAAGATTTCAAGTCCAGAATAATTAATTTCTTTGTTAATTTCCTTTTATTAATTTTAAATCAAATAACATCTAAATTTTTTGGACGTTTAACCAAATTTCGCCCTCAGCGGCCAAAACCAAACTATTCGTCTTCATTTCCAAGGGCTCTTGAGTTTTCTCATTGATCGTGAATCTAAAATTTTTCAACAAAGACACAAGACCAACTTTTGTTTGCATTAGCCCAAAACGCATTCCTGCAAAAAATATTCAATAAAAAGCCCCAAATTGTATTTTTTCGCACCAATACAAATTCTAGGCCCTTCCCCAAACGGAATATGGGCATAAGTATTCCTCGACGCCTTATTCTCTCTACTGAACCTCTCAGGATCAAATTTCTCAGGATGAGGATAATACTTTTCGTCGTAGTGAATCCCAAGGATTGGGATTAAGACCGTTATACCTTTTTCAATWGTCACATCAGTGTTGGGGACTTTGTAGTCTTTGAWACATCGTCGGGGGACAAGGGGACCCGGGGGGTACATTCTCAGAGCCTCTAAACACAAAATACAAGAAACATTTTTTTGCAAAAACACAAACCATCAATGACTTGTTCCAAAAACGTCATTTCTTGAATTGCATCATAGGTGATTTTGCCATGTTTCTTCAAAACTGCATCAATTTCTTCCCTGACTTTATCTTGAATATCTTGGTGTCTTGCAAGTTCGTAAAGAGCGAAAGTCATCGTTGTTGAAGACGTTTCAAACCCAGCAATGAAGAAAACGAAGCTTTGGGCCGCAATTTCCTCAATTGATAATGCAGTACCATCATGGTCCGACTTATTGGTCTTCAATTCAAGAAGAAGTTGCAAAAAATCATTTCTCACAATATGATTTTTTTCCCTATACTCAATAGTGTCTTTCACGATCTTGATAAAAAAATCGGAAATGTCTCGCGGAAGTAACGCAATGTTGAGCAGTTTTGCCAAATTTGGGAAATTGTTAGCAAAAATGCGTTTTGAAGTCCTAATTAGACCTCCACGATCAAAAACTTTRCGTCCATAAACCCGAAACGGTGAGTTTTCTTCTTTAAAAGAGTTACAATCAAGTCCAAAAGCACAAGACCCAATTATATCAGTCGTGAAGCATCCCAACACTTCTTTAATATCAATTGGTTCGTTTTTTTCGTAATGTTGTTCCACCTGTTTGCGCAAATTGACTTCACAGTCAAGTAGGGTTTGAAACATCATTTTCATTTTCCCTGAAGTGAAAGTTGGGGTTAACTTAGTCCTCAAATTTCTCCATTTTGGCCCACTTATATTAAACAGGTTGCCAGTAAGAGGGTCACCTTTCTCGTTATGATACATCCCGCGGTCGGAAAAGTGGTGAAAATCTTTCGTCATGATATTTTTCACATACTCTAAGTCTACAACAACGTAAAATGGCCGTTGCAATAGGTAAATTCCCCCATGTTTCCACCCTTTTTGCCTCATGGTGTCATAAACACGTTTCATTTTAAYACCAATGTGTTGTTTGGGGCCTTGATTTGTTACAACATCTCCGAAAGGTATAGAAGCTTCTAAGTTTGGCAAGTTTCGTTTTTCCCAATACTTGTAGCACCATTTGAAGTAAATTATAACAATTGTAGTTAAACTAATTAAAACTGTGACAAAATCACCAAAAATTGAGTTTGTTAGTAGCATTCTGGTAGCAGTTAGTAAAGTAACTACTTCCTAAAGAAATCACAGCTGTATTTATGATTAAATGTGACACGTCATTGTTGATTTATTTTATCAGAAGATCACGCTATTAACATCCATAGAATAGAGAGAGAGCACAAAGATTGATAACAATAAAAAATACACTAAAAATTCCAAGGTTTTTTACAATTTTATTTTCTTGGTTAATAACTTAGTTCAGAAGAATAAAACACTGTTTTATAAGCTTCAGCAACATCTTCAAATATCGTTTTCACGCCTCATGTCGGTTTTAAAGGCGTCTTGGAATTGCTCGGCTTCTCCTTTGAAGATAAATCATTGTATTTTATAAAAATAATTGCTTCAATGAAATGAAGCAATTTGTGTTATTTTCAATTCATTTGGCTTAACTCAAAGTCAAAAATCAACTTGAATTAATAAAATAAATGCTTAAATAACAGTTTTTTGCCAAAATAAAGCAATTGGCGCTACTTCCAATCCAATTTTGCTCGATTTTAACACAGAAATCAATTTACATCAAAGTATTTTATAAAAATAATTGCTTAAAATTTAATTTTTGGCTAAAATAGAGCAATTTGTGGTATTTCCAATCGATTTGGTTCAATTTTAAGCCGGAAGTCAACCTGAATCAATGTATTTCAACAAAATAAATGCTTAAATAACAGTTTTTTGTCAAATTTACGCGATTTGAGCGTTGGATTTCCAATCCAATTTTACTTAATTTTATCACACAAATTAATCTAAATCAAAGTATTTTATAAAAATAATTGTCTAGAATCCAATTTTAAGCCAAAATGAGGAAATTTTTGCTATTTCCCATCGATTTGGCTCAATTTTAAAACGGAAATCAACCTTAATTAAAGTATTTCAACAAAATAAATGCTTAAATAACAGTTTGCTGCCAAAATAAAGCAATTTGAGCTATTTCAAATATTTTGCTTAATTTTAGCACTGAAATCATTCTGAATTACGAAATTTTATCAAAATAATTATTTGAAATTAAATTTTAGGCAAAAATGAAGCAATTTGTGCTTTTTCCAATCGATTTGGCTCAATTTTAAGTCGAAAATCAACCTGAATTTGTTAAATTAAAATATTGCTTGGATGCGTTTGTGTTGTAAGTCAAGGTGAAAAGCTCCTCTATAATTGGAAAAGATCAATAAATATTTATTATTAAAAAAGAAGACGTGTATAACATACAACTACTAAACACTTATTGAATACTCTATTACACAATTCTCCATTAATAATTTTGCTAATGATATAGAATATAAAGAAAAAATTTGCATTTTTTTTAATTTCAGAAGAAAATTGTTATAACCAAGAAAGTGTTGTTTTGCTTCTTTGATTAGTTTTCTCTCTAATGTCACCGATTTCATCAACGTAAACTTTCAATAAAAGTATTTAAAAAAATTCAAACTTATTTGTTTATAATGCATTGTTTTACAAATTGTCTAATGCTAAAATTAAAATCGAAAACAACTTTTAAAATCACTCTGTATTTTAGCCAATGACATAAAATATAAATAAAAAAAATATATTTTTTTTAATTTGAGAAGAAAATTGTTGTAACAAAAAAACTGTTGTGTTACTTCTTTGATTAATTTTATTTCTAATGTCACCGATTTCAGCAATATAAAGTATTTTAAAAATGCAAACTTATTCGTTTATAATGCATTTTTTTTACAAATTTCCCGATGCTAAAATTGAGATTGCAAACAACTTTTAAAATCTCTCTGTATTTTATCCAATGACATAAAACATAAATAAAAAATTTAGATTTTTTTTAATTTGGAAAGAAAATTGCCATAATAAAAAAAATGCTGTTTTGCTTCGTTGATTAATTTTTTCTCTCAAATGTCACCATTTCAGTAATGTAAACTTTGAATAAAAGTATTTTAAATGCAAACTTATTCGTTTATAATGCATTTTTTACAAATTTTCTGATGCAACAGTTTTTTTACTTCTTTGATTAATTTTCTCTTTAATGTCACCGATTTCAGCAATGTAAACTTTGAATAAAAGTATTTAAAAAATGGAAACTTATTCGTTTATAATGCATTTTGTTACAAATTTTTCGATGCTAAAATTGAGATTGCAAACAACTTTTAAGATCACTCTGTATTTTAGCCAATGACATAAAAAATAAATAAAAAACTTGCATTTTTTTTAATTTGAGAAGAAAATTGTAATAACAAGGAATTTGTTGTTTTATTTCTTTGATTAATTTTTTCTCTCAAATGATACCGATTTCAGCAACGTAAACTTTGAATAAAAGTATTTAAAAAATGCAAACTTCGTTTATAATGCATTTTTTACAAATTTTCCGATGCTAAAATTTTTAAATCATATCAATTTTTAAAATTATCTTGTATTTTCTTATTTGGAAAGATTTTCTGAAAGCATGAATGATCTTTATACAATAAAATAGTGGTTTTTCATATTTTACCAATGACATATTACGAAAATATTTTTGAGCAACCTGAATATATTAATATTATTTTGCTCACTTTTTATTAGAAAGTAGTGACCGACATAAAACTTTCAGGATTCGAAAGTAATATTTCCTTTATATTTTTTTTTATTATACTTAGCTCAATTTTTTATTTGAGTAAAGCAAATTTTTTGAAAACTGAAAAACTAGAATTTACTACAAATCGATAATTTTATTTACAAAACACTCTAAATCAGAATAAATGTAAAGCCAAAATAAAACAGTTTTATCAGCAAACGGCACAAAAGTGACAACTTTTACGACTAAATGGCAAATAAAGTAAAAATTTTATTTTTGAGGCTACGCGTTTTTACTTTTACCATGACATTGGCAAAATAAAACAAAATTTCATGATTAAAAACCTGGACACAGTGAGTTTTTAGGAATTCGAGAAGGTTTTTAAAAATTAAAACTTAGTAAATTTAAGCAGTTAAGACTGTTTATTAGACTACATCCATTTATCTAGATAAAACTCAAGTTTTTTATTTTAAATTTGTTCTCCCACTGGAGTAATGGTCAATTCATTTATCTGCAAATTACCAAAAATAAAAAAAGAACAAAAATAATTGTTTATCATACTTGAACATTTTCAGGTGTTGACAAACAATAGCCAATCGCTTCAGCAATATCTTCGGCTTTTAAAACTGGCAAACTTTTCATCATTTCCAACCGATCCGGTCCTGAATTTGGGTTCATTGTTGTCATTTCAGTAGCCACCAATCCTGGACTAATACTCTACCAACACTATTAAAAAAAAACAAACTAAAAACACTTACTTACCGTCACTTTAATTTTCGCCCCAAGTGCATTAATTTCATTTTTCAGCGTGCCTGCCAACGCAGTAACTGCATGTTTACTAGCACCGTAAACATTAATTCCAGGCATATTAACAATCTTATGCCCTGAGACGCTATTTAGATGAATAATATGCCCGTTTATGTTATAATCAAGCATCATTTTCATCGCTTCTCTTGTCGCAACACACAATCCGATCACATTAACATCAAAAATCATTCGCCATGCCTCACTATCACCATCATGTAAATTATTTTCAAGAGTGACACCAGCATTATTGACCAAAATGTGGACCGGGCCTARATTTTCCCGAATCCATTGAAACGCATTTACGATATCGGTTTCACTCCTCATGTCGGTTTTAAGGGCGTAGAGTTGGCCCTTTTTGTCTTGGAGTTGCTCGGCTTTTGCCTCGATCACGTCGACGCGACGAGCCAAACCAACGACCTTGAAACAAAGTAGTTGTTTCTAGTTTGGTAATTTTGACTTACAATAATTCCGTTTTCGACGAGAAGTTGTGAGACTGCAGCCCCAATTCCAGAACTGGCACCTGTGACCACGGCCACTTTGCCCTCCCATCTTTCAAGGGAAAGAACCATTTTGATGGTGGCAGCTAATAAAGACAATTCGTTGTGGTACTTGTCGATAGTGAGCTTAGATATATGCAGAAGGCTGTTCTATATTTATAAAAATCAATAAACATTTATTATTAAAAAGTAACGCAATAATAAATGCATTGCATCAGTAGTTTTGTATTTAGTTTCTCTCAACTTTTTCTCTTATTTTGCAAGACGATTCATTTAATACACCTACATAAAAAAAATATACTAAAATTTTTTGGACATTTTTGACAGAAAGCAACTGTAAAATAAAATGAAGTTAACAATGCTTAATTTATATAACTGGTTGGATTTAAAATTCTTCAGGCTGGTAGTTTTATATTAGTCACCCTGTCTTAGCCTTCAAAGAGATAACTTTAGAATTAATTTAAAAAATGTTATACAGGGGGAGTCATAAACTTGAAGATTGAAATTTTTTGATAGTCAATTTTTTTCGGAATGCCACTACATATTTTACTACAGACAAAAAATAAAACCAAAACAATGCATTATAAAAAAATTATTAAAAAAGTACTGTAAACAATGAAAACAAACATTGAATGTTTCAAAATTGATTTCATGTTGTGTCAGATAGTGATTTTTGTAAAGGTTTTTTTTTGTAGAGCATCACTCTATATTATTTTGTATGTAACCTCCAAAAAAAAAATCTATAGATTCAAATCTAAACCTAAATAAAAAAAATATTTATAGTAATTTTACTTTAAATTAGATATAATATAATCATATTTTTTACTAATCACCTAGTATATAATTTTTTGACAAAATTTTATGCTCTCGAATGCTCTTTTATCATTTTTCTGTCGTTATTTTCGAATTTTTCTAATTTTAACCCATAAATATTGGCACTTATCAAGTTAACAATGCTTAATTTATATTATTGGTAGAATTCAAAATTCGTCTCACTGGTAGTTTTACATAAATCACCGTGTATGTATAGATGTATTTTAAATTAAAAAAAATTTCTACAAGACAGATATTCACATTAGAATTAATAAAAAAATAAATACAGGGTGACTGATGCAGAAATAGCTTGGATGTTCATGATGATCAAATTAATGTGATGTTATGCCAAACAGTAATTTTTGTAAAGATCGTCATCCTAGTTGAATCAGCCTGTAGTGTCCTTTTTGCAACCTCCGAAAAAAAATTCCAATAGATTCAAGTCTGGTTTTTTACCACAGGTTTTTTGTTAATCACCCAAATTTCGGAAATTTTTTGGTGATTTTTGAAAAGCTGTATCTCAGTAAAAAATGGTCGCATTTAGATAAAAAAAATCATTGGAAAGATTCAAGTCTCTAGTTTTGAAAACTCTTGACAAAAAATTTTCTGGGCAATCCTAAAAAATAGAGCAAAAAAAAGTTTTTTTGTTTTCGTCTTTAGTCCACGGGAATTTTGCTTTTGTTTGAGATATCTGACTTTTAAGGAAAAAGGTTTCTTTAGTCTTTAATCATCCATATCTTAGCAAGAAACGACTGTAAGAGTAGTTGCAAAAACAGKAATAAATTTTCTACGAGATCTTTTTACGATTTAAAAAAAAATCATTTTAGCCAACACTGGTTTAAAAAAATTTGAAATTTCTTAGACCGATTAGTCAAAGTTTTACAAAAGAATTAAAAAAACAAGTATATTGTTTCTAAGCATTGTGTAATA